AAAAAAGCATGCTTAACAAAATCAAAGTAATTATAATTCTAAAATAAAAAAAAAAATATAAACAATTACCAAATGTAATTAATTATTATAGAATACTGTTGAAACAACGCACAAAACAAAAGAGGCCTTCTCAGTAAAAATCCCAAACACGAGGGGAGATAAAAAATATGCCAAATTAATAAGTCCAAAATATGAGGTCTGAATGCAAATAATCCAGGAATAAATGTTTCGTGTACTTTGACTATTTTGTCGAAATTGCATATTGCACCTAATACCCACAAAAATATATAATATATCATTCCTCAACTCCCGCAAGATGTGCGCCTTTCGATTGAAATGTTATTATTTTCAACTATTTTATATAAAAATAATGAATTATTTATTTATTCCAAATCATATCATTGATGTATTTAGGTCACCTATATATATTGTCAATTAAGAAAACCTTTAATTTGATAGAAGAGTCAATCGAATTTTTATACTTGCAATGGCACGCACTAGTCAACCATAATTCTCACTATAGATTATAGAATCCAGCAACACCATTTTCAACAAATTTGAATTTTAAATTGTGTATGGAAACATTAATTTATTCTGATTGTTTGTGTATTTTTATTTTTTGTGAGTATATATGAGTGAACGATAATAAAATAAATCATTTACAATGTGAAAAGTATATCGTCAAATTAAATTTCGGCAAAATTCCACCCACATAAAATTAGAAATAAACAGTATATTCGATTTTACACAATTAAAACAATACCACATAATATTTTCAGTCAGATAAACTATTTAATAAGTGTTCCAAAAAAAAAAAAAATCTTGATTAGATGCTAGTTATATTATCATGAACGTATAAACTTATCTACGTAATGCATATTAATTATTTTAAATATTATTCATTACAATTTTCGTTAGATTTTAACAATCCTAACTACTGGTTCTTTCAATGATTAAAAATTCCAATGAAAACTGCATATTTCAATATAAATTTCTACATTAATAAATCGTTGGAACAAAAAAGTCGTTGAAATCATCAAATTCTAACTAAAATTTTAAGAAAAAGTTAGTTCCAATGAAATATTTTAGAGTATCGATCTCCATTTGAATATTCGTTTGATTCTTCAACGAAAGGCGAAAGCTACATAATTGAATTATCTGTTAAAATTTCGTTGAAATATTTTGAGAAGATATATCAAAGTTATAAGATCCACACGCGGGCACAAAAGGGAATATTTTATTTTCCAAGAAAGCAAACTTGAGAGAGTTCCCCATTATGTTGGATAAAGCTATCAAAATTTTCCATGTACAAAGCAAATTTTATTTATTACTACAAATTTTTGGAGTTACGGTCTCGTTACGGTACTATTCTGCCGGATTGCAACCTTTAGATAGACAATCTCTAATAGTTACATTATGATCTAACGGTTACAAATCCCGACAGAATGATTCCCTAACGGGACATTACTTATCCAATTTTTGCTTTTCTTCAAGGAGTGGGAAGTGGGAACCATGTGTTGGGCACAACAAAACCTCATTTATGAAAAAATATTGTACGGAATGTTGCACTTAATAAAGGTTTATTAAAAGAGAAAAAAAAAATGGAGGGGAAACTTAGATGGATAATTCTTCTAGGTCAATCAATCAATGTATATACTTTTGAACTTAAATATTATATTTTAAATATAATTTAATATAAATACATTAATTTTTATGTGATGCGACTTAAACGTTAGGCGAGTCGATTCAAAACAAAAATAAATATTTATTTTATGAAATGTTATATTAAGTTTATATACTTCGTTTTTCATGTATTACATTTATATTTGAAAGTATGCATATTTTGTTGAAAAAATATAGTTTGTAATTATTAGGTCCGTCTACACCAACATTACTGATATAATAAAAATATGACATTTTATAAATTATAATTTTTCATAAAAAAGTATTATTGTCCAGTAACTATATACTCCAACGTTATATTGGTAAGCAATATTTTCTTTTGTTAGGGATAAAATTTTATAGGCAATATTTGGCATAT